TGAATCTTGTTCTTAAATTTATCATCGAGCTAGTCACATTTGCCCTAGTTTCTTAAATCAATGCAGTTTTGACAGCACCAACGGATAAACCTGGTGTGGCATTACTTGACTTTGTCATCTTTCCTCCCCGGTGGTTGGTTGCTGAACACACCTTCCGTCCTCCATATTATCACCGCAATTGTATGAGCGAATTTATGGGTCTAATCTATGGTGGATATGAGGTTTTTTATCTTGCTCTTGCATGAATCATTGCCAATTCTGGGGTTAATTCATGCATTTTAATGAAGTTAGCTTGTTTCAGGCAAAAGCTGATGGTTTTCATCCTGGCGGCGCAAGCCTTCATAGTTGCATGACTCCTCATGGTCCCGATACCAAAACATATGAGGTATAATTCCTGCTATATTCTTCCCTCTAGTCCATGTTTCTTTCTCCTCCCCACGCATGTGCCTTCATTTAAAAGGAAATTTGTGATTTTACTCCCTCAAATGTCTGCAAATTCTGATTTTTTGGTCATTGTGATTTCTGGTTAAGAATTTACATGCACTTTTGATCCTTTCAAAGACAAAACTGTCCTTTCAAAACCTTTTCCAAATCCTTTCCAAAGAATGTGGAGGGTGTTTTTGTAAACAAGTAATTTGTTAAAAAAATTATATAATGCATATCATTTTTAATACACGAAACCCAAACAGTCGATGAGAACTAATTCCAGCATAACTAATCCCAGTATTACTAATCCCACCATTACTAATACACCATATTCAGTACTATTCTTACACACCCTACCAAACGATCCAACTACTTAATCTGAACGCTTGTGATATGTGAATCATAAGCTAGCCATCTGTTGTTATATCCAAATCATGGATATACTAGTCCAAGCGATAAATAGTTTACTCCAAGCACTTATGATCTGTTAATCATACACTAGTTATATGTTCTACGTACTTTTGCGTTCACTACCTTGCTGCCATAAAACATTGACAGGCTACTATTGCACTTGGAAATGAAGCTGGTCCACATAAAATAGCTGATACAATGGCTTTTATGTTCGAGTCTTGTCTAATACCCCGAGTCTGTCCGTGGGCACTTGAATCTCCATTTATGGATCACGATTATTACCAATGCTGGATCGGCTTGAAGTCTCACTTCTCAGGACTATCCATGAAAGAAAACATCAATTTTCAGAATGGAAAACCAGTAGAAAGGTGAAATGGAAGATGCTAATTGTTCAGCTAGCTTCTGTAGTTCTGCAAGGGATGTGCTCCTAAAATGATTTAGCTTGTACATAAGAAAGATGCCACGGGCATGTAAATTGTTAAATAAATCCTACGTAGTATTGGATCTAAAGAATAGGGTGACAATCCAAGTGCAGATACAGTGCTACGATGAAAGCGATGTTCTATGAAATTATGACCTCTTGCCCAGTAAGTAGAACATCCTGATGTTGTGGCTTTTGTTGTTGTATATGTAAAGATGGAATACGTCTAGCAATTACAAGAACAATGAATTACTATGTGACAATAACGAGTCCATTAATGGTTACTCAATTATCTACTAAAGTCATCTTTCGTTTGTAACAACTAAGTCACTTAACTATGACAATAACACTCGGAAGACCATTCAATTAGATTTATCAAACTTTTGATTGCAAAATACCTATTTTACCCTCTTGATTATTAACTTCTATTTTATTTTTATTTACTTTTTTAACTTTTTAATATTATGATTTTTTTCTCCTTTTAATTTATATTATGGATTTACCTATAGAATAAATAAAATTTATCTATAAATTAAAAAATAAAAATAGTATTTAAGCATATATAATGTTGGAATAATAAAATATTAAGCATTGTAAAAAATTTAATTAGAACAACTTGTTCGTAATAATAATTTTGATATTAACAACAAAAATTTAAAAATTTATTTACACAATTTTTTGTAAAATATGTATCCCATGCACGTAATATAAATAATTATTTAAAATAGAGGTATTTTTATAATATATATATATATATATATATATATATATATTTTTGAAAATTACGCTTAATAATATTATTCCGACATTATATAAGATAGATAAATAATATTTTTAGTATATTTGTTCTATAGGTAGGTCCATAATGTATATTATAAAGAGAAAACCCATTATATTAAATAAAATGAACAAGAAGAAAAAAGTTGATAATTTAGAGGATAAAATAGGTATTTGACAATCAAAAGTTTGAGAAATCTGGTTGAGTGACCTTGTGAGTGTTATAGGCATAGATAAGTGACTTTTCTGTTACAAACGAAAGAAAAATGACTTTACTAGATAATTTCAGATAGTTGAGTGACCATTTAAGTAATTGACTCTGACAATAACTTGTTGTAATTGTCTAATTAGGAGTAACAAACATGGGAAAAGCAAGTTTCTTTTCCTATTATTGTCATGCTCCTCTTGAGTCTTGACCGTGCCCATCACTGAATTTGGATGTTTTACTTCTATATAGTTTGTCCCAAAAGCTTTGGTGGGGAGGGGCGACAACGGCAGATCTTGAGCATTATAATTGGGTTCCCGGAAACTCAATAACTTTTTCGTATTTCTATTAAGAAATTTACTAAATATCTATAAATATCAAACCGTGAACTCAATTATTATTATATATTAATTTGAGATTATTGCAGAAACCCATAAAATTCAAATATTGAATCCGTCGGCGATTAAATAGATTTGGAAAAAAGTTTCGAGGGAATGAAGCATGCGACAATGTTTGTTGGCACGACCCAAAATCCCAACCTGTTGTGAAGGCGCCTAACACACTTACTAGGCAAGCTGACAATCATAGAACAACTAAACATTTGAATAAACATGCTTTAATAAACTCAACAACAGAAACCTCATAAATATCTGATACAAATAACTGAAATACAACTACAACCATCCCAAAATCTGGTGTCAACGAGTACACGAGCACTACTAAGTATCAACATAAACCAAAAACTCTAGTACAACTGTATGAGTAATAGAACAATACTGAAAAAAAATAAAAGGAAAGAGAGTCAAGGTGTGCGGACGTCATAACAACCCTCCAAGCAGGTACTAGCACAGATCTAGCAATCACCACGTCACCTGGATCTGCACACTAAGTGCAGAGTGTAGTATGAGTACAACCGATCCCATGTACTCAATAAGTAACAGAACTAACCTTCGGCGCTTAGAAGAAGATAGTCAGAGTCTAATATAATAACAACGCGGGTTTGAATGATGACAGAAACAATAAAAAACTCAGAGAAATTATCATAATCAACTCGTTCATGTTACAGAAATTTGGGCATGCTTTCAAGTTCAACAATTAAAGCTCAACACTGATGGGAATATGTCAATTACAGCTATCATGAGGAGTGGTATATCTCTATGCCTACATGTCAGATATGCTTGTCAAATGACTGATTTCACCATGATAAGCCCAAGTACTCACACTCTCAAACTACTCAATTTGTCTGCAAAATACCCACTCAACCCACACACAATCACCCAGCGCTGTTTGGGTACCTGGCATCAATGCCCCTTACCAAAGCACGTGTATATTTATCACTGTGCATGCGCTCGTTGCTGGTATGTCACACTCAGGAGAGGCGGATCCTACCCAAGCTATAATATAAAGCCAATAAGGCCTAGTGAGGCGTGCAGCCCGATCCACATAATAATAATAGTAAAGCCAATATGGCGTGCTGCAACGTCCAACTCGATCCACAATAACACTCTCAACAAGACTCTAAGACTCACCTCAGTCATCGATCTCGTAAGTCTCAGGGGCTCGCAATCTCATATCACTCAACCCAACAACGCCACATAAGGAACAACAATGATATCCTGCGATGTAACTATGAATAATGAACAGAGACTAAGATATGATATTCAAACGAAGAACCATGTCTGAGTGTATAAATACAATTAAAAAAGGTAACTCAAAACAACAAAAATAGCCTCAATAGGTCTTAACCGAATACGCACATAGCCTAAGCATGATTTCTAGCATGAATCGCAATTCATTTACTCTAACAAGTGAGAATTACACGGATAAAGCAAGACTAGATAGCAACACAATACAAAAATCAACCCAAATCATGATTATCACGGTGCACCCCCACACGCCCGTCATCTAGCATGTGCGTCACCCCAACACAACACAAATAACATGTTTTCGAGGGATAGTTAACCTCAATTTCACGTTTAGAAATGTTACTTACCTCAAAGCGCGCAACTCAGTACTCCAACTAACTCTTGCCACGTGAATTGGCCTCCAAATGACTTGAATCTAGCCAAAGCAACTTAATTCCAACAATAATATCTATGGAAACAATTTCAAAAGATAAAACTAAGGTCTTTAAATCGGAAAGTCAACCCAAAAGGTCAACTTGGAATCCGATAATATTCACAAAATCTAAACACCCATTCAATTATGAGTCCAACCATACTATATTCATCCAATTTTGATCACAAATCGACGCTCAAATCCTTAAATCTCACTCTCCAATACATAGTCCAAAAGTCCCCAAATTCCATCTCAGATTCATGAAAATTAGGTATAATAATCAATGGGTAATTAGTATCTAACACCAAAATCGGATAAATATCATTTCCCTCTTCAATTATAATGAGAAATGCTCCAAAATCGCCTTAGACCGAGTCCCACAATTCCAAAGATGAGAAAATAATGAAAACCCTCGATTTTAACCTTCTGTCCAGGCTTTTTGCACTGGCGCCTCCATCCACCGCACCTGCGGCACCGCACATGCGGAAAATTCCAACGCATGTGTGAAATTTCATTAATTCCCCGGCCATCCAGTTCTGCGGAGAGGATATCACACATGTGCTTAATATCCCACTTCTGGGGTTGCAAACATTTCAACCAAGCTCCGCTTCTGCAGTCAAATGCGCTTCTGCGCATGCGCACCTGCGCCCTCAGCTCCGTATCTACAGAAACCTATGCCTCTGCTCCTCTTCACTTCTGTGCTCAGCTACCCGCACATGCGAGCTCGCAGTTGTGGAACTTCCCTCGCACATTCCTACCTCCAGTCAAATACGCTTCTGCCGCACCTGCAGCCAAGACCATGCAGGTACGGTTACACCAGACCTGAAGCTGTAGCAATTCCTTAAGTCCAAATCTCAATCCGATTTCAATCTGGATCATACCGAGGCCCCCGGGACCCCATCCAATCATACCAACACGTACTAAAACACGATACGAACTTAGTCGAAGCCTCAAATCACATCAAACAACAACAAAATTACAAGTCGGACCCCAATTCAAGCGTAATGAAACGAATGAATTTCCAAATTCTAAAACCAATGCCGAACTATATTAAATCATCTCCGAATGACCTCAAATTTTGCACACTAGTCCAAACTGACACAACCGACCTATTCTAACTCCCGAAACCGAAATCCGAGTCCGGTATTAACAAAGTCAACTCTCAGTCAAACCTCTCAACCTTCCAAACCTTCAACTTTTCAACTTTCATCAATTCAAGCCAAAACGACCTACGAACCTCCAAATCAACATTCGGACATACGCCCAAGTCCAAAATAACCATTCAAAGCTATTGGGATTTTAACAATATTCCAAAGTCGTCTACATAAAAGTCAAACTTCGATCAACTCTTTCAACTTAAGCTTCCAACCTTGGAACTAAGTGTCCCAATTCACTCTTAAACCTCCCCGAAACCAATCCAACCATCCCGGCAAGTTACATAACATAAATGAACATAGAAGAAGCAATAAAAGGGGAACGAGTCTACAATACACAAAATGACCGGCCAAGTCATTACATTCTCCCCCTCTTAAACAAAGGTTCATCCTTGAACGAGTCTAGAATCATATATGGAGTCTCAAATAGGTGTGGATAACTGCCCCGCATCATCCGCTTGGTCTCCCAAGTAGCCTTCTCGACTGGCTGGCCCCTCCGCTGAACTTTCATTGAAACTTTATTCTTTGATCTCAATTTTTGAACCTGCCGATCCAAAATGGCCACCGACTCCACATCATAAGTCAAATCCCCATCTAGCTTTACCGTGCTGAAGTCCAAAACATGAGATGGGTCACTATAATACTTCCGGAGCATACAAACATGAAACACTAGGTGAATACGCGATAGACTAGGTGGCAATGCAAGCTTATAGGCCACCTCTCCAACTCTTGCAAGCACTTCAAAGGGACCAATATACCGAGGGATTAACTTGCCCTTCCTTCCGAACCTCATCACCCCTTTCATGGGCGAAACTCTGAGTAACACCTTCTCACCCACCATATAAGCAACATCACGAACCTTCCTATCTGCATAACTTTTCTGTCTAGACTGTGTTGTACGAAGCCAATCCTGAAACAACTTGACTTTCTCCAAGGTATCTCGAACTAGATCAGCGCCCAACAACCTAGCCTCCCCCAGCTCAAACCAACCAACTGGAGATCAACACCCCCTCCCATATAAGGTCTCATAAGGAGCCATCTGAATACTCGATTGATAGTTGTTGTTCTAGGCAAACTCTACAAGCGGTAGAAACTGATCCCAAGAACTCCCGAAATCCATAACACAGGTGCGTAGCATATCTTCCAAGATCTAAATGGTCTGCTCGGACTGTCCGTCCGTCTGGGATGGAATGATGTACTCAACTCAACTTGTGTGCACAACTCTCGCTGCACTGCTCTCCAAAACTCCAATGTGAACTGCGTGCCTTGATCAGAAATAGTAGAGATCGGCACACCATGAAGACGAACAATGTCACGGATATATATTTGAGCCAGCCACTCTGAAGAATAGGTAGTCACAACCGGAATAAAATGTGCATACTTGGTTAGTCTATCCACAATAACCCACACTGCGTCAAATATTTTCAAAGTCTGTGGGAGGCCAACAACAAAATCCATGGTAATACGCTACCACTTCTACTCGGGAATCTCAAGTCTTTGAAGCAAATCATCTGACGTCTAGTGCTTGTACTTCACCTGGTGATAGTTAAACACCGAGCCATATACTCCACTATATCTTTCTTCATTCTTATCCATCAACAGTGTTGCCTCAAGTCCTGATACATCTTGGCGGCACTCGGATGAATGGAATACTGCGAACTGTGGGCCTCCTCAAGAATCAACTCACGCAACCCATCCATGTTGGGCACACAAATCCGACCCTGCATCCGCAATGCCCTATTATCTCCAATAGAAACCTCCTTAGCATTACCGTGCCCTTAAGGACGAGAAAATGGGGGTTGTCATACTGACGCGCTCTAATGCGCTCATACAAAGAAGACCGAGAAACCACGCAAGTAAGAACCCGGCTAGGCTCCGTTGCACCCTATTTTGCACTAGTCAAGACATGATTCAACTCGTGGTTTCTCTGTTGTTGATGAAAGAGAGTCGCCACCTAATATTTGAAGGTATTCTAGGGTACATATTTAATTACTAAGTCATGTTCTTGTTGGTATGCTAACCGGTGAGATTATGGGTAAGGGTTCTTGTTCTTCTAAGGGAGAGGTGTTAGGCACCCTTTATAATCTACCTGAGCTAGCTCCATAGGATTTAGACTAAGTTTGGGATCAATTATTTGTGAAGTGATTTGATTAATAATAAGGAAGGCTTCTTACTGCACACCTAAGGATAATATTGACAGGAAGAATGTAAAGTCCCAAAGAGGTATGAGTTTATGAAGGGATTCATAAGAGATGTTAAAAGAGTCTTGAAATTGGTACATAAGTGGTCTAGATTTTATAAGTTTAAAAAGGGGATTGAATCATGAAAATACTTTGATTTGAGGGATGGCTATTTATATAATGCTAAAAGGATGTTTGTGAGAAAGCATATCTAGAATTTACCTTAGATTCGAAGGATTTTTAAAGAAAGGGTCATTTGCTGGAAATTCCTTAAAGGCGACGATTTTTTGAAGTTCTGATTTTCTTTTGAGAAAACGAAGTTAAAATCTGATTTTCCCTTTTAGAAATAGAGCTGTTGTTCACTAAGTTCTGGATTTTAAAATCGTTAAAGAAAAGAAGGGTGAGTGAAAAAACATAGTAACTAGCGAGCAGATTACAGCTAGCGAACGAAGGATCTACTATTAGCTAATTTTCCTTTTTTTAAATTCTATATTGTTTAAGGCTTGCCTAAGTTCATATGATACTAAAACATAAAGAAAAAAGGAAAGCATGTGTTCTAATATATGAGTGTTATATACATGAGAGATAAAACAACAATGAAGACATAACAAATACAACTAACATTAAACTAGTAGAGGCAGTAAACTAAATTAACGAGGCAGTAACAATGATAAAAAGAGTTGAGGGAAAGAGGACTGGACTCTGGAATTTGGCCTCAAGAAGATAGACCCAGCAGTAAAGAAGAGCGAACACAGCTGACTTTGGACTCTTGGACACGGTTCAATAAGGTTGGAATTGGGCCTAAGTTCATCAAGAACTCAGAGGCCCAAATAGATCTACATGTGAAAAATAAGAAGGTCATTAGAGATGTATCCAATACATTTAACATATTCTAACTATAGAATATATTTCGATATGCATAACAAATACATAAACAGATAATTGAAGCAGGAATAAGATTAATATGGTAGAGGAAATTATATATTGATATGGTGGCTTTACTTAGCAAATAATTCACATTGGAAACCTTTCGTTGTCACTAAAACTAAACCCTTAAACAATCAAACGTGTCAATGAATTAAGAGCTAAGGAGGGAACCCTGTGAGCACGTGATTTTTGCCCTACATGAATTATTCCTAGAAATTCAAACAAAATGATTTCTTTCATTATGTTACAATTTTGTGGATTTTTGGTGACATTTTAGGTTAATTGACTGCATTTTATTTGTGCATTTTAATTAGTAAAAACACAAAAAATACTTGGCATTTTCATTTGGGATTTAATTTCACATTTTAGGATTATTTAGTAGTAAAGTTACTTTAAAAATTAAAGAAAATAGCAAAAATGGTTCTGGGCCATTTAATTAAATTCTGCCCAGCCCAAACACACCCCAGGCCAGCCCAACCCACGTCCCAACCCGGTCCAGTCCCACACCCTACCCAAAACGACGCCGTTCCCTTTCTCTTTAATCTGGTCCGTCGATGTATCTCAATCCAACGGCCACGAACTGAGGAGTTATATGTATATAACTGTCCGAACCCATGCCCCCCCTCTCAGACCCCCCCCTATTCGTCTCTAACATCAAACCCTAAAAGACCAGCCGCCTTTATACCCTCCACCAACACCGCCGCCGGCAAAGACGCAACCTTCTCCGATGGCTCCCAAAATCANAGCCACCAAACTGGGGCAGAAAATGTTTCTTTGTTTTGTCTATTTCTATTGAAATCAGGCGCCCACCTGGAGAACAAGGGAATACATTTCAAGTTCAGCAATCAGGCGCCCACCTGGAGAACAAGGGAATACATTTCAAATTTCAGTAATCAGGCGCCCACTTGGATAACAAGGGAATACATTTCAAGTTCAGCAATCAGGCGCCCACCTGGAGAACAAGGGAAACATTTCAAATTCAAGCACTCAGGAGCCCGCCTGGAGAATTGAGGCATTTATTTTCAAGTTTTTGGCAATCAGGAGCCCCGCCTGGAGAACAGAGGCATTTATTCCAAGCTTTAGCAATCAGGAGCCCGCCTGGAGAACAGAGGCATTCATTTTCAGATTATCAGCAGTCAGGGGCCCACCAGGAAAATGGACACATGTTTCAAGTAATCAAGCATCATTCGGAGGAATGGCAGCAATATCGCCAATCACAATGCAGGACAACAGCAGGAATACCACCGGAAGATTTCAAGATACAAGTTCAAGGCAACACAAGAACAAGTTAGAAGACATAGATAGGACCCTTTTGTAATTCGTAGATCATAGCTTAGGCCAGCTTCTTTTTATTTTTACTCGGTGTAATAAGGAGGTCAGCAAGCAGTAGCAACAGCAACAGCAGTGAAAATCACAGCTCCTGGTAGTCCCAGCTACCAAACCTTCCCGAACTACACTGACCTGATTCCTTTTTAGCCAAGGATATGTAGGCAACTTTTGAAGCAGGGTTCGGTCAGACGGTTTTCAAAATGCTTCACACGGAGTATTCGAATGGGCAAAAATTGCTCGTTTCCGCTCACTTATCTTTGCACGGAAACTCGTCGTGTTCCCGAGCAAAGAGGGGCAGCTGTGAGCACGTGATTTTTGCCCTACATGAATTATTCCTAGAAATTCAAACAAAATGATTTCTTTCATTATGTTACAATTTTGTGGATATTTGGTGACATTTTAGGTTAATTGACTGCATTTTATTTGTGCATTTTAATTAGTAAAAAACACAAAAAATACTTGGCATTTGCATTTAGGATTTAATTTCACATTTTAGGATTATTTAGTAGTAAAGTTACTTTAAAAATTAAAGAAAATAGCAAAAAATGGTTCTTTTCCCACACCCCACCCAAAAAATGGTTCTGGGCCATTTATTTAAATTCTGCCCAGCCCAAACACACCCCAGGCCAGCCCAACCCACGTCCCAACCCGGTCCAGTCCCACACCCCACCCAAAACGACGCCGTTCCCTTTCTCTTTAATTTGGTCCGTCGATGTATCTCAATCCAACGGCCACGAACTGAGGAGTTATATGTATATAACTGTCCGAACCCATGCCCCCCCCCCCCGTATTCGTCTCTAACATCAAACCTTAAAAGACCAGCCGCCTTTATACCCTCCACCAACACCGCCGCCGGCAAAGACGCAACCTTCTCCGATGGCTCCCAAAATCACACCCCTATACCGCCTCAATGACCTCGACACAAATCCCTCATTATCTCCCTTCGAATCCCACCAGAGTCTTTCGAATAATCGAAAACGTCATCGTTATCTCCGCCGCCCACGGCGGCGCCGCTACCAAATGACCCCAAAGATACACCCTATACTCTCCTGGTTCCCCTCTTCTTGAATCCCTCATTGGTTTCCTTCAAACATCACCGGAACTGCTCGAATTTTGAATCATAAAGAAGGCAGAACCCTAGGAGTTCATTTTTGCTCGATTTTTCCTGATTTTTCTACTCTAGTATTGGATTCGAGTCACGAAATAACGTTTTCGTTTGTTCTTTGACAAGAACAAACGATTAACATTATTCCGGGGCTCGAATCGATTTTTCAGTCTTCTTCCCGGTTTTGCATAGGTAAGTTTCTTCTCTTTCTTTGTTATTTGAATTCAACTAATTTCTTGTTATTTAAAATAGTTACTGATTAATTCATGTTTTAGCCTGATTAGCAGTGGCTATTGTTCTAGGTCTTGTTTAGTTTTAGGGTTCCAATTACATTGGTTATCTGTTTGATTGAAATTCCATAGTTGTTATTACATTGCTGATTTGAACTTGTTCATCTTCTTAGATTAACTGGTTCATTTTGTTATTTGATTTAGTTCAGTGTAGTTTCGTGTTTGAATTATTGAATCGCTCAGTGATAAAATTAGTTTAAGATTAACAGTTTAGTTAGAATTAATTTTTATGTTGTGATTGGATTAGAATCCACTTTTAGGCTCTTCTTATTGAAATTGGTTGATTATGGCTGAATAGGCTAATTTTTGGGTTAATTAATATGAGGTTGGTGATTTCAGGGGTAGTTTAGGCACTCAGAGTTGCACAAGAATGTGGTGGTTAAAACTAGAATCTTCTAGGACCTTCCAAAGTAGGGCTTTAGTGTAAATTTCAGTAATCTTAGTGGGATAACTTGAGTAACAAGTCAGAAAATAGAGGGTTAAGTAGAAATAAGTGAGGGACTAATATGTAAAACTAAAAATCTGAAGCTGCACCTCATTGTGCCTATAAAATGGCATTTCTTTGCCTTCATTTGAGGAAGGGGGGCCTCACAAAAAATTTCCTCCGATTCCTCACAAGTTTCAGAT